ACCTGTATTATTAGGTCAAAATGTTGTATTACTATGTTTTAGTGTATAAGGTCAGTGGTTCAAACTCATCAGCCGCTACTTGGAAACCCTATACAGGGTCACTATGGGTCAGAAACAATTTGATGGCACTCAACAACAGCGCAAGACAAACATTTGACTTAACTGACATTATGTATGAATCGTACCTAACTTTTCCAGCTTAATGTACAAATTTGACTGAAAGACTTAAGAACGGAACTTGTTCATAATTCAGGGACTGCCTGGATACAATAGTATTCCTCTGTATTTGTTTCCTGGGGCCACCATAATAAAATACCACAAACTATGTGACTTACAAGGAACACGGTGGCCCCATACAATAAACACTGGACTGAGAATTTTTTAGCATGGAAAACTTTTCTTGACATTTTACAATAGTGGTCTCCCATATTTGTCCTTTTGTGATTGACTGATTTCACTCACCATAATGTCTTCCAGGTCCATCCATATTAGGTGTTTCGCAGTTTCATCATTATCCTTCTCCTTACGTTGTGTAGTATTCTATTGTATGTGTATACCAAAGTTTAAGAATTCTTCTGTCGATGGACATTTAGGCTGTCTTCGCCTTTTGCTATTGTGAATAATGCTGTAATGAACATGATGTGCGCATATCTATTCATGTTATGGCTCTTATTTCTTGAGGATATATATACCAAATAGATTGCTGGGTCATATGGTATTTCTACTTCCACCTTTTTGGGGATGCACCATGCTTTTTTCCTCAGTGGTTGCACCATTTTACAGTCCCACCAGCAGTGTGGGAGAGTCCCAGACTTTCCAAACCCTCACCAGTATTTGTTGTTTTCTGGGGTTTTTTAAACTTTGCTATTAATGTTGCGATAAGATACTATCTCAATACTGTTTTGAACAACAATGGAGTTATGGTCTCCTGGTGTGATACTGTGGGTTAATGCACCAGACTGCAAAGCCATTTGAACTAAAAGGTTGGTGGTTCAAGCTCACCAGCTGCACCTTGGAAACCCTATACATGGTCCCTATGGGCCAGAATCGACTCAACGGCACGTCACAACAACAACAAATGGAGTCATGGTGTTGGAGGAGAATATTGAAAGTGCCATGGGCTGCCAAAGGAACCAACAGATCCCTGTTGGAAGATGTGCAGCGAGAGTGCTCCTTGGAGGCCAGGATGGCCAAGCTTCGTCTCTCATACTTAGTACATATTGTTAGGAGGGACCAGTTGCTGGAGAAGAATATCATGTTTGGTAAGGTAGAGGGTCAGAGAAAAAAAGGAAGACCCCCAACGAGATGAACTGGCCAAGTAGCAGCATCAGTGGACTCAAGCGTGGCAACAATAGTGAGGTTGGCCCAGGATCAGGCAGTGTTTTGTTCTGCTGTGCATAAGGTCGCTATGGGTCAGTACCGACTCAACACCTAACAACAACAACAATGGAGTTCTGGTGTGACATTATAAGATAAGCACTGGACTTCAAGGTCAGTCTGAACTGTAAAATCAGCAGTTCAAAGTCATCAGCTGCTCCTTGGAAACCCTATACAGGCTCACTATGAATCTGAAGTGACTCCATGACACATAACAACAATAATGGTTAATGATCATGAGCATTTCTTCAGATGTTTGTTAGCAGCCTGAGTGTCTTCTTTGGTGAAGTGTCTATTCATGCCCTCTGGTCACACTGAGACTATTGTGTGAGATATAGGTCTTGTTTCATGCTGCAAATGGATTTCCAGTTTTGCCAGCACTGTTTGTTGAAGAGAGTATCTCGTCCCTATTTAATGTGTTTTGACCTTTTGTCAAAGATCAACTGAATTTTGTTTTTGTTAAGTGCCATGGAGTCGGTTCTGACTCATAGCAACCCTATGTAGAGCTTCTGAGAAACAAATGGTGCTTCGAAGTCTAGTGCTGACCCTACATGCCACACCACAAATCCCAACTGAGTGTAGGTAGATGGATTTACTGCTAGGTTCTCAATTCTTTTCCACTGATCTATATGTACCAGGCTGTTTTGAGATTGGGGAGTAAGAGGCCTTTCTACTTTAGAACAGGTATTTGCTGCTGCATAGTTCTGGAAGCTAGAAGTTTAGATTAGGGTATCACCCATGTTGATCCTTTCTGAGACTTTGAAGGAGAATCTATGCTATGACACTTCCTGCTTTTGGTAGCTCCAAGTATTACTTGACCTGCAGCTATGGCATTACACAGCATCCTTCTGTCTGTCTGTCTATCTGTGTATCAGCTCCACTTTTTATAAGAACACCATTTGTACAGGATTAGGATACACTCTATTATTCCAGTATGACCTCATATTAACTGATAATATTTTCAAATACCCTATTTCTTTCTAAGCAAGGTCATGTTCACAGACACCAGGAGTTAGATTTTTAGAGGACACAGTCCATAACACTGCACAAGCATTGTTTGTAATAGACTAGAAGTCCTCAGTGTTCATCAGTAGGAGGAATGGTTAACTATGATGCGTACACATGACAGAATGGTGTCATAGGGTTCTCCAGAGAACCAGTGAGATAAAGAGGTAGACAGAGATTAATTTACTTTAGGGACTGGCTCACACAATCTGGGGACTTGTAAATACAAAATCTGTAGGTCAGGTGGCAGGTTGGAGACTCCTGCCTTTAGGTCCCAAGATCCATAGGTCAGTCGATAGAAAAAGAGAAGAGAGAGAGTGTGTGTATGTGTTCTTCAAAGTATTTTATAGTCTAGGGACTAACCACACCCTAAGGAAACTCCTCTTTCAATAGACTGATTGGTCACATTAAAGTATGAAGAGTCTTTACATTAGATTCCATTGTGGAGTAGCAGTAACTGGTCTAGTGTGTGGCCAAACCACTAGAAGTCATAGTCCAGCCATGTTAATACATTAAATTAATTATCACAAATGGTATTCGGCCATTTTTTTTAAAAAAAGAAGTTCTTGTAATGTCACAGTCTCTGGAGTATATCATTAGTGAAAGAATAAGACATAAAATACTGTGGCTTCGTGTACAATGTGCTACCCTTTAGGGTTGGGAAGAGCTCTGCCCACCCAAGGGGCTCAACACACCTGAGTCAATGAAATTAGGGGTCTCAGGGCTTCTCTATTTTCCCTCTTTTAAAGTTAGTTTTATTTATTTGAACATAGGTTTACATGGTTCAAAAATCAAAGCAGCATGAAAGAACAGTGAAGCCTCATTCTCACCCTTGCCCTATGTTTTCCTGGCCCTCCAAATTCCCAGAGATAACTCATTTCCTATGTTTCTGCCCAGCATTTCCTTATATAATCACAAGCAAATATTCTTACATTTTCTCCCCTTTCTAAACCCAAGAAGTAGCACACTGTACACATAATTCCATGTCTTTTTAGGAAAGGCAGCTTCAGTTATTGGGTGCCCATATGACCTGGGAGGGGCATGTCAGATTCCCCACCCTCTCCTTACCATCTTTTGATCCAGAAGGCATCCCTGATCAGGGAAGGTGGGGCTGACTCCACTGGGAAAGAAGGTCATTCAAGAAATAAGCCATGGAAACCCATTGACCTTGAGATGAGAGACAAGTCTGGCTGGTCTGAAGTTTAGAGAGTTGTGTGAATTCCTGAGCATGTGGGCACTGGCCTAGCCCTTGGGAGCTAGGGTTGAGAGTGAAGGGATCAGCTGATCTTAAGTGCAAGGAGGTAGGTGTGTGTGAACTCCCAAACTTGCAGCTAGTACCCATTTGATCAGACTTGGATGGCTAGGGCTGAGCTGACAAGAACCCAACCAGATGAAAATAAAAGATGGTTGCTACTGTGAGCAAGTGTAAATTACTACAATTTGATGAACTGGACTTTTGCTTATGGATGCAGTTGCTAAAAATTCCAACTAGAATGGAAGATTCTTCAGATCAATTAACATGCTTGTCTCCTCAGTGTACTGAGTTCATTGTTGTTTTTAAGTGCTATCAAGTCACTTCTGACTCGTAATGACCCTGACAGGGTTTCTGAGGAGCAGCTGGTGGATTTGAACTGCTGACCTTGTAGTTCACAGTCCAGTGCTGATCCTATAGCCCCACACCAGAAGTCCACTGGGTTGATGATGTTGTTGTTAAGTGCTGTCAAGTCGATTCAGACCCATAACGACCCTATATAGGGTTTCTGAGGAGCAGCTGGTGAGCTTGAACCACTGACCTTGCAGTTCAAACGGCTTTGCAGTCTGGTGCATTAACCCACAGCACCACAACAGGATGGGTAGTTTAGAAATCGGCTATCAAAAATGGGGGGGGGGGGCTATAAAGGCATGAAGTAGCTGGCTTATAAGCTTTTATGAGTGTGATTAGTTTCAGAGTGAGAGGCATAAGGTAGAATCCCTACAGGATAGTTTTCCTCTTTTCCAGATACGTCTGGTAAAAGTGGGTAGGGGATGATGCTGATAGGAATTCTATGATTCAATTGTGAATAATTGTTAGCAGGATTGTGATTGTCACAACTGTAATCGTAGAAGATGTGTAGCTGAAAAGGAGGAGTAATTAATCTTCCATTTTTGGAACAGATGATCCCAGGATTATTAAGAATGAAGCGCATGAGTGGAGTGTGAGATCCCTACCTAGAAAAGTAGCAAGAGCAGAGACGATGGGTGGCAGAGGTGATGATGTCGAGAGAAAGCAGCTGTAGGCTCTAGGCCCATGGACTGAGTAACACTGTGTGTGTCTGCGGGCAGGAGGCTGTCTGGCAGAATGTGCCCTTTGGACATTTAAATGAATATCTATTTTTTTGTTTGTATGTGTGCATCAAATATTTTTGCTTTGTTCATTTGTGAAATATAAATTGTAAATAAGGAGCCACAGGGAGGAAGCAGGATAACTGTTGTTGCAAGGAAGGGATTATAATCATTGAGATGAAACAAAGTACATGAGTTGTTGAATGTAAAGCTGATGATGTTGTCTGTAAGTCTTCACTCAATTCACAATAAAAAGTAAAAAAAAAAAAAAGAAAAAAGAAAAACAGGCCGATGACATGGAACCAGAAGAGGCCCCTGACTACCCAGGGCCTTCTGGAATCTGGGGGGAATGGGGGACACAGAAAGAGAAGACTAGATGCTGTTGCCAACTTCCCACCATTCTACATGGTGGTGTAGAGCCAGCCCCACCCTTGGTGAAAGAACAAGTGATCTTGGGTGAGGTGAGTGGGGAGGGGGAGAAGGGTAGAGGAAGACTGGACCTGGGTCAGGGACTGGTCCTCAGATCTCACACAGGGGCTGCCACTGGGGGCTTAGATAGCCTGAAAGTGCCCCCACCTCAATTTACCTCTGGGCTTATCTCAAGCCCTCCCCATTGTTGCGGTTTCCTCCTGGCGCCTCTGGTCTCCAGCAACACAGCCCCCTTACACTGCACTAATGGCTCAGCCTGGGGCCCCAGGGACCTCCCCCTCCAGACTGCTCTGCCCCTGACCCCCCCCTCACTGCTGAAACCCAATCCTCTGCAGCAGTTCCAGTAGCACCGCCTTGGCAGAGCAGCCCCTGCTTCCCATAGTTGGCTGTGCTGCAGAGCCCCGATCCAGCACTGAGTATTTAGAAGCCACAGCACGCTCCTGGAGAAGTGCAGCCGGACCATCCAGGTCGCCTCGTCCACACCACCAGGCCAGTTCTTCTCACCTCTTAGTCTTGTCTGCTCTCCTCCAACCCTCTTCTCCCCTTGTCTAACCTGCAGTGACCCCTACCCTACCTGGCCACCTAACCCCTGCCTCAGCCCTCCTAGCCCTGAGACTGACTCTGTCTCACTCTTCTCAGCCCTCTCTGGGTCTCACTCTAGCCCACAGCTAGGAAGCTCACCTCAGGGCCAGAAATGGCCCCTCGGCCGGCCTCAGACATACGAGTATTTGCCAGCAGCTGCACACTGCATGGCCTTGGCCACGTCTTTGGTCCTGGGGGCCTGACCCTACGCCGGGGACTGTGGGCTGCAGCTGTGCTCCTGTCGTTGGCTACTTTCCTCTACCAGGTGGCTGAGAGGGTGCGCTACTATGGGGAGTACCATCACGAGACCGCTCTGGATGAGCGGGAAAGCCACCAGCTCACCTTCCCCGCAGTCACCTTGTGCAACATCAACCCGCTGCGCCGCTCAAGCCTCACACCCAACGACCTTCACTGGGCCGGGCCTTCGCTGCTGGGCCTGGACCCTGCTGAACATGCTGCCTTCCTTCGTGCCCTGGGCCAGCCTCCTGCCCCGCCTGGCTTCATGCCTAGTCCTACCTTTGACATGGCACAGTTCTATGCCCGAGCTGGGCACTCCCTGGATGACATGCTGCTGGACTGCCACTACCGTGGTCAGCCTTGCGGGCCACAGAACTTCACTGCGGTGAGCTGAAGACCCCTGCTTCGGCATCCCCAAAAGTCAGGAACCTTCAGCATGCTCAGCTCAGGGATCCCTTTCTTACTGGCCAGGCCAATCTCTCCCCAACCCACCCATGCCTTTCTGTTCATCCCTGAAAGCTGTCCTCCTTGGGAGTCTGCCTGTTACCCAGTGAACTGCACTTTATAAGCCCACGCCTCCCAGCACCAGACACTGATCCAGGCTGGTGCTGGGCCCGGGGGCCGACATGTCAAGGCCCTGCTCCTGAGGGAGGGCTTTCTGGAGTAACTGTTCTGAAAAAGGCCCCTCTCTCTGCCAGGGGCAGTGAGGCCAACTGGGACCCACTTCCTCTTAGTCCAAACCCCAGCCCAAGAACCAATTGCCCTGAAGGCTGTGCCAGTGTTAGGGTGGAGATGGAGGAGCCTGGGGTTGGAGGAGGGGCTGGAATGATGGAAGCCCATGAGAATCCCACTCCATGTGCCTTTATGAGGGTGGGGCTAGGGGATAGAAATGTGGGCTTTGGTATTCAAAGAAGAGATTGAAGAGAGAATGGAGATGGGAAAGGCTCCCAGTTCATGGGTTTATGTGGATGTCTCACCCCTGGTGCAACCTGGCACCCACGTGTCCACCAGCAGATCTTCACTCGCATGGGTCAGTGCTACACCTTTAATTCTGGTGCCAACGGGGCTGAACTTCTCACCACTCCGAAGGGCGGGATGGGCAACGGGCTGGAGGTCATGCTGGATGTGCAGCAGGATGAGTATCTGCCTGTGTGGAGGGACAAGGGTAGGGGCAGATGCATGAGGGAAGGGGGTAACACAGAAGGGGACAAGGGCTCGGGGAAGGAGATGAGGGAAGAGGTGTCCAGGAAGGTCACTGGAAGCATGGTCCTTCTCTGTGAGAAGGGGACAGGAGTGGTTTACAAAGGTCTGGGGAGAGAAGTTTCAGCAGCAGGTCTTGCCTGGTTGGGGCCTCCAGCCTCAGAGGTGCCTTCCTGCAGAGGAGACCCCGTTTGAGGTGGGGGTCCGAGTGCAGATCCACAGCCAGGATGAGCCTCCGGTCATTGATCAGCTGGGCTTTGGAGCTGCCCCTGGCTACCAGACCTTTGTGTCGTGCCAGCAGCAGCAAGTATCCTCACCTGTCCCTCCAGCACCTTCCAAGGATCCAGCCCAACCCCTTTTCTTCAGCTCCATCCCTCAGGGGCCTCTATTCCACAAGAAACCTTTCACAGTTATACCTGGGAGCCTTTACTTCTTCTAGACCGTTCCTTAACCCTACCTATCATCAGTTAAGCTTCCTGCCACCGCCCTGGGGTGACTGTGGCTCTGTAATTCTGGACCCAGATTTAGAGCTGGAACCCTCTGGTCAACTGGATTCACCTAATCCTAGCCCAGGCCCTAAATCTCCCTATAGCATAATGGGCTGTCGCCTAGCCTGCGAAACCCGTTACCTGGCTCGGAAGTGCGGCTGTAGAATGATGCATATGCCTGGTAAGGGGCTGGGCCTGGATCTGTGTCTAGGGAGCCAGGGAGCGCTTGGGCCACTCCTGAAACACTCTTTTCTCCGGCTCTCCTTCCTAGGCAGTGCGCCAGTATGCAGCCCCCAGCAGTACAAAGACTGTGCCAACCCAGCCCTAGGTAAGGGCACCCTTCCTTCGCCTCCCTGTCCTACTCCACTCAGCCCTGAGCTGGCACATTTCGTCACCAGACGTCATGCTGCGGAAGGATGCGTGCACTTGCCCCAACCCTTGCGCCAGCACGCGCTACGCCAAGGAGCTCTCCATGGTGCGGATCCCCAGCCGCGCCGCCGCCCGCTACCTGGCTCGAAAACACAACCGCAGCGAGGCGTATATCGCGTGAGCAGGGGAGGGGCACTGCAGACGTGGGCAGGCTGGAGCGCGGTGTGCACCTCTGGCTCAAGCAGCCTCCACACGCAGAGCGGACTTTGGAACTTTGGGCAAAATGCTCACCCTTGTGTCTTTTTGAAAATGAGGGTAGCAACACCCCGGTCCCAGAAGGCCAGGGCCCAAGAACCTGCATGTCTCCTCCTAGCAGCTGGCCCAGCAGGTGATCAGTGAGCATTACTGGCCATCCTTTCCTCTAGGGAGAACATGCTGGTGCTGGACATCTTCTTTGAAGCCCTCAATTATGAGGCAGTGGAGCAGAAGAAGGCCTATCAGATGTCAGAGCTGCTTGGTGTGTGTGCAGGCAGGCTATCAGTCAGGTCTGGGGAGGTGTGGGCAGCAGGTGCAGTGAGGGGACCACCACTCTGTCTCTGCAGGTGACATTGGGGGCCAGATGGGGCTGTTTATTGGGGCCAGCCTACTCACCATCCTTGAGATCCTGGACTACCTCTTTGAGGTGGGTCAGGGCTCCCATGGGGGGCAGGAGGCACACTAGGCTCCAGGGAAGAGGTACAATGGCCACTTCCCCACCTGCTTGCTCCCAGGTGTTCCAAGACCGGGTCCTGGGATATTTCTGGAACCGCAGGCGCTCTCAGAGGCACTCCAGCACCAATCTGGTAGCAACCTCTTCCCCTTCCACTCATCTGTACCCCCATGCTTCTCCCAATGTGGTGCTCGGCCCTTCCCTAACTCCTTTTGCTAACAACCTAGAAGCCATCCCTCTCCAGCTGAAACATCTGTCCAGCTGGGAAGGTTGTGCAGTGAATGTGGCAGGTAGCTCAGAGGGAGAACTCCCTTCTACTTCTGACCCTCTCCTCCTCCCACAGCTGCAAGAAGGGCTGGGCGGTCCTCAAACTCATGTTTCTCACCTCAGCCTGGGCCCCAGGTAACACAAATGGCTCCTGAAGCCAACAGAGGAAGGGCAGGTGCAGTCAGGGAGGGCCAGGGTAGGAGCAGAACAGCAGTGTGATGGCCTCTTACCCCACTGGTCTATCTCTCACCAGGCCTTCCACTCCTCCCTGTGCTGTCACCAAGACCATCTCTGCCTCCCACCGCACCTGCTACCTGGTCACAAGGCTCTAGGCTGGTATCTGTCTTCAGGACTCTGACACACCCAGCGTGCACATGTGCTTTGTCATCTTTACCCCAAATAAAGTGCTAATGCCCTCTTTTCACTGCCCCTCTGACTGGGTAGACTTGTCAGGCCAAAGCCAGCCCTGCTTGGTCAGCCAGCCCTAGCCTGTCATAATGTCTGGAAAGTGGGGCTGGGCCATAATTAAACACCAAAGATCTCATAGAGATTACACAGTAAAAGTATCAGCCACTTGCCCCACGTGACTGTTTGTCAGACTAACATCTCAGAGAATAGAGGACAGCTATTCTTAAAGTCAAGGCACAGGAGGGTAGGGCATTTGGGTCAATTGAGCCAGGTAGTCCTATTGAGAAGACACTGGGCAGTTGAGACCAGACGTGCAAAAAAGCTCAGAAACAAGTGGGCAGAGAGAAGAAAAGGGCTGGCTGTTCTACTTCCAAGAACATAGCTGTTGGAAAACGGGCAAATAAGGGAGCAAAGGAGAAGTGGGCCTGATCTAACAGAGTCTGCAGGCCTAGTATGGGTGGGGATGCAGACAGGAGGGTCATTAGGGTATAGGTAGGGTATGGAGACCTCTTTCTCCCCATTCTAGCAGAGTCCTAGCCCCACTCTAAGTCACCCACCAGCCAAGAGCCCCTGGAGAAGGCTCAATCCCTGCTGGTGGAGCGGGAGTGTCAAGTGCCTTAGCCACAATGGTGCCGGCCTTAGTCTCCAGGTCGACCTTAGACCATTTAGAGGAAAGAAGCAAGAAATGAACAGCTGAGTTGTTTGTGAGCTGGAAACAGAGTTGCAGAGATCTCCCGCACCCCCAGTTAAGCCCACCTCTCCTTCCAAACCAGTCAACTAGCACATTAACCAGACTGTGGGAAAGGAGCCAATTTATGAAATTAAATAAAGTCCATGGAGGGAGTAAAGAATCCAGGCAGGGTGCCTCCACCCTTGCTGGGCCCAGCACAGCTGGAGCCCCAGCGCATTGTGACCCCTCCCTTCCCTGGAGGGGTGTAAATAGGTCAGGCCCCAGCCTGGCATCAGGGGTCTTGGAGCCTAGGGTGGGCAGAAGTCGGAGAAGTAGGGATGCTGCAGAGCTTCTTCTGCTGAGATGCGCTGGACAGGGTTACACTTGAGGAGGTTCTGAAGAGAGAGAAGGATGGCAGGCATTAACTCCCAGAGTCTGCCTACTCCCAGCCCTCCAACAAATGCTCTAACCAATTCTACCCTTGGCTCCTGACCCTTACTTGCAGCAGGTCCCTTCCTGTGGCATTGAGCTTTGGCACGACATTCACCAGGGACGTGGTGGCCGGGTACATAGGGTAGGGCTGTGGAGGATCAGGGAGTCAGGCCCAAGGCTCTTGGGATTGGAGGCTGCCACCTCTATCCACCACTCCAGACCCTTATACCTTATAATCTGGCAGCTTGGTCATGGCAGGCCACTGCTCCTCGGTGGGCGTCCCGAGCAGCGTGTCCACATGGTCAAGGATTACTCAGCTGGAAAGGGTTGTGTCTGCTCTTCAGGAATAGCAGTAGTGACTTCCCTCCCAGAAAGGGCTCCTCACATTCACCCCCACTCTGTCCTGGCCCAGGGCAAGAGCAGGCCTCAGTGTGTGTGCCCTTCACAATCAGCCCCCTGTACGGTGTTTACGATAGGTCAGGCACTTTACAAAGGTTAACTAATTTCACCTAAATCCTGTCGTTTGTACCCTAGTGAGCCAGTTACTCTTCCCCTACTACCACAAAAAGCCCCTTTGGACCTTCATGCTCGGGATTCAGCTCTCATCTGGAAGTGTATCTTCTTGGCTTCTTCGTGAAGGGTGCCTCCTAGTCCCCTGCTGCCTGGGGGCAATCTGGAGGCTCCACCACCTGCTTCCTACCCTCATGCATGGGAGAAGCCTGACACCCAGCATCCAGGCCGCGCCCCTCAGCCCCTGTACTCAGAGCCCATGGGGTGAGTCCACTTCTAGAGGCTCAAAGAGAAGGGCACTGGCAGGATATCTGAAGATCCTCTTCAGCTGGTCATCTACATCATTGCCAGGGAAGAGAGGCCGCCCAGCATTGGCCAACTCTGGGGAAGAGAGCAGGGGATGAGGACCAGTGACATATGAAGAAGTCCTCATTACACTGGCACCTTTTGCACCTTCCTCCCCACCTCCAACCATCCCGCTCCCTTCCCCAGAGGGGATCCTTCAGACTCTATTTGTCAACCTAAGTTGAAAAGATAGTGCCTCTTCAGGACTCCAGAATGTCACCTGCAAAGATGCAGCCGGCTGACCACATGTCGATGGACGTGGAGTACAGCTTGGCTCCAAAGAGGACATCCGGTGGGCGGTACCAGAGTGTAACCACCTAGAGAAGACCCCACCCATAGGGACCCCTGACTTAGAGGGCTGTGGAGGAAGTTGGAAGAGGAGGTGGCTCAGAGAAGAGAGAAAAGTCATGTTTTGGGTCCTGGTACAGGGACTGAGAGATCTCACTGGAGATTCTCTCCCTCACCCCACCCCCATCGATGCAGCTCACCTCAGCTGAATAACAGCGAACAGGAATTCCAAAAGCTCGAGCCAATCCAAAATCAGCCAATTTCAACTCCCCATTCTGAAGGGAGATAAGAAAAGGCTATGGAAGAGGGCTTCTGGATAATCTCAGGATAGGCTTTAGCCTGCCCCTCTTGCCCACCACCCCCCTTGCCTCCAGCCTCCTGCCCTCTCCCCTGAGAAGTACCCTATTTATGAGCAGGTTCTGGGGCTTCAGGTCCCTGTGTAGCACATTTCGGCTGTGACAGAATCCCAGGCCTTTTAGCAGCTGGAAAAGGAATGACTGGGGAGAAGGAAAGTCACATCCTGATAGGAAGCTTTGCCCAACAACAGATCACATGCCAATTTCCACCCTCCTCTGCTTTGCCTCTAGTCTACCCTACACTTCCTTGTCTATCTAATTTACACCCATGCACGTGCAACATCATTCATTCATCAACAAGGACCTACTTTGTACTATGCTGGGTATTAGGAGAACAACAATACTTTTTATGTAACTTACAGCTGAGTGGTCCTTCTCACGTCCCACCCTCACAGACCTCTCCCCTACCTGGCTTCACCAACAGAATATCTTGTGCTCTGTAATTTAGCACTGTAGAGAACTTGGTCTATGACCTAGAACAGTGCCTGGCACATAGCAAAACATTCAATAAATATTTGTCAACAGAATGAATATATCTCTTTGAACCTCAGTTTTCTCATCTCTCAAGTGTAAATAATATTTCTGACGTCAGAGTGCTACTGTGTGGGCCCAGTGAGACCAGGTGAAAATGCTGGCTAAGCCTAGGGGCTCAGAAGGGTAGGAATATGGGGTTCTTCTCTCTTATACTTCAAAGCATCCCCTGCTTAGGGCCTAGAATTGGTGGTCACAGACACTTATGCTGAACACTGATCGCAGCCCTAGACATAATGAACTCCCAGGGCAACACCCCCTCACCTTCACAATTTCAGGGTCCAGATCACCATTGCAGCTATCAAAATACTTCTTCAGGTCCTGAAAGAAGGATAGGGTGAAGGAGCGGGACCGAATCTCAGTCTCAATTTGTGCCCTTATACTCCCTCCCAAGCTACTGTCCTCAAAATTCCCACTTCACCTGGTCACAGAACTCAAAAACCAAAGTCAGCTTCTTGTCACTATGCAAGACATCATGAAGCCTGGGGAGAAGGAAGAACTCAGCTAGCCAGATGTGCTAGGTTAGGCCTAATATTCCAATAACAGCCCAACCCAACTCTAAAACCCCACCCTCCTCCAACAACCACACAGACAAGAAAAAAAACCCTTCCTGTTTACACACCTGACAATGTTCTTGTGTTTTAGCTCTTTGAGTAGGCAGATTTCCCGAAGGGCAGAACTTGGTACTCCCTACATGGGAGAGAGTCAGGGCTTGAGTCAGATCCCATCCAGCCCAGGCTGTCACCCTCCTCCCTGGCCCTAGTATCCCAGTCCTACCTCATCATCATCATCCAGCCTCACCCGTTTCAGAGCCACGATCTCATGAGTCTCTCGGTTTTTGGCCTTGAACACTGTTCCATAGGTACCTAGGACAAGGAGGTCAATGTGCAGGAAGAGATGGAGCACCCTAAGAAATCCCTCTTGAGTTGGGAGGCAGCATCTGAGTATATTATTTCTGATACCCAAAAAGAAAGGGAAGGGGTTCAGGGCTCTGACTGAAGGCTGAGTGTTGACGAGGTTTGTGAGCGAGGATGTGGCAGGTGGGGGAGGGGCAGGAAAGGTACCAGCTGAAGCTCAAGGGTTTCTGGAGAGTCTATCATTTTGCAAGGAGGAAGGTAAAGGCAGTATTTGGGGAAGGTCTGAAAATAGTGAGGAGGGGCCTGGATGAGGAATTTGGATCTTCAGAAGTACTGAGGTTGGGGGATGAAGGTGTGCACTGGGAACTGAGGTTGGGGGTTGAGGTGTGAGTCTGCCAAGTGGTGCTAAGGTAAAGGGTGAGAAACGCAGGAAATGTTGAGTAGGGAGGTCGGGTCTGGGGAAGGTTTAGGTTGGGAATTGGGAGTCTGCAGGAATTGCTAACTTTGGGAGTATTGAGGTCAGGGGGCCAGGGCTGCAGCGAGTGCTGAAGTCCGGCGTCGAGTCTGCGGGTATTGCTGACGGTAGAGAAGCCTGGACTGCAAGGAATGTAGACAAATCTGCAGAAGAATCTTTTGCAGAAACATCTCGTGGTCCCATTACCTTCCCCAATCTTCTCCAGTTTCTCGTATTTCTGCATTCCGGCAGCCGCGGGGACCCCAGCGGGCCCTCGCCTGTAAAACTCCGACCCCGGCGTTGCAGAGGAGGCGGCACCCCAGTCTCCGGCCCTGCCTCGCCCTCCTGTCTGAGTACGGGCTTCTGGATTTTGTAGTCCTAACATGGTCAGGTCTTTCTATAATGCTTTGACCCGAGAAATTAAGAACTACAAAACCCAGAAGGCTGCGCTCAGGCTTTTTTCAGCGCTTGACTCCCGGGACTTGGTCTGACCGCCTGGCAAACTTGGACTTCAAATCCCAGAAAGCATCGCGTATCCGCTTTCCGGGCTTCCTGGGCGCATCAGCGAGGTCCCGGCGTGCCCCGCTCTTGTTATTGCTTTTCTGTGGTCACAGCCTCTTTTGGAAAGTGCCGCTGGGAGACTGCACGTTCCAAAACGCAGCAGGGGTGGGGGGCGGGACGCCTCTGTTTCGGCTTTGGAGCTTGGCCTAGATTCGGGACCCAGGTGGCTTGGCTCTTACCCGGCTAAAAAGGCAAATGGTGTTTAGTTCCCAACGACCTCCTGATGGCCTCAACACTGTCCACCGTTTTCCTTTGTGCCTTGATGGCCCCAGGATTGATCTAGGAAGTGGCTCAGAGTAATGTCTTGCTGGGAAAGCGAGGCAGGCGTGTCCCACTTTAAATTGGAGTTGAACCTAGGGTTGATCCGAGACCACCCGATTACGGCCGCTGCATCGTGATGTCCGAGACAGCCAGGACTCCTGGACGAAGGCTGATTGTCTACCGTGCAACAGACAGATGGGCAAACAGGTGCTGCGATTGCAGCGGCCTGCCCTCATCCTTAAATAGTTGATTATAGATTTTCTTGCTCTGCTTTCTAATTGTCTCATGATCTCATTCTTGAGGGTTGTGAACTAGGTGAAATGGCCCCAAACAGCACCACTCATCTCTGGAACACAAGTAGATGCTAAACATTGACTCGTGTTAGGCTGAAACGTTTCCTGCACACATATGGTTGTGCTTCACCAAGTGGTCGACTAAAAAAAAGAAGTGAAAGCATACTCCTTATCTCCAAGTATTTATAATTTAGTTGGGAAACACAATAAAAAAGACCACTGCCATGGAGTCAGTTCCATGACTCGGAATCCATAGGACGGAGTAGAACTGCTCCTTAGAGTTTCTGAGGTAGTCAATATTTACAAGAGTAGCAAGGGAGTTCGATTTATTAACCTTGCGGATAGTAGCCCAATGTTTAACAACCCACGTTTTTGCCATTGAGTAGGTTCCGATTCATAGCGACCCTGTATAGGGTTTCCCAGGAATGGCCAGTGGGTTTGAACTGCCGACCTGATGGTTAGCATTTTAGTGCTTATCCTAGGGCGCTACACACACAGTCTCTAAATGGCAGTGAGCGCTATGACTAGGGTTCGAGTACATGTCTAGGTAAAGCAGACTGTAGCCATAGGAGACGCCCCAGGAATCCATTCGCGGCACCTCAGGAATGGGAGGAGTCCTGAACAAGATGCACTCTTCGGTGTTTAGATCAGAGTAACGGGCATCCAGTCTCCAACCCCAGTCTTACTGCTTCCGCACCCTGGACCCTTAGAGGCAGTAGGATTGGTTTGATTGTTATTTTTTCGCTGGGGGTATCAACAGAGTTTTGATTCTGATAGTTAATAATTCTTCCTCCCGAATCTCCGGACCATTCTGTCTCCCTTTTCTTGCCCGTGATTGCGAGTGTGAGGCGGCCTTGTTTTCTTCCAGAGCCTCCGTAATCGGGTGGCTAGGCGGCAGACCGGCCAGCCCAGAGCGGGAGCCCAGAGATGACCCCAGAACTGCGAACTGTGGGCTGGACAGCCAGCGAAGATGAGAGGCGCCGAAGCCCGCGCGACTCACAGGCCAGACAGTGCCTGGGAGCGCGCTTCTGCGCCGGTCCCTCCCCGCCCCCATCCGGCGGTGCCGCGCACGTGCGCCGAGGGGCGCGCACGCAGGGGGCTGGCTTGCCCGTGGCGCGGGGGAAAGTTGAGTTGCAAGAAGTTGGAAACGGCGGGGGCGCGCCCCGGGGTGGGCACGGGGGCGTTGTCGGGAGCGCGCGGGGGAGCCCGAGAAGGGGGAAAGTCCCTGAGACCCCGGGAGAACGAAGTCCACAGCTAGCGGGTAAGTGGAGAAGAGGTGGCGGGGGAGGGCCTGGGCCGCGGTGGGAGGAAGCGAGGGAGAGGGAAAGGGGGAACCCGGGACTCCGGGTGGGGAGGGAGTGGATGTAGAGAAAAGGGCGGAGACTGGGGTACGGGGAACCAGGTCTTGGGGAGAAGGATGGGGAACCAAACAGTATGGGTCGGAAGCTGGAATCCCCAGGGCTCGGTGCTTAGAGTTCCCTGAAACTCGATTGCCATGCCCCCTGCCACCAGGAGGGGTTAGTCTCAAGAAGGCTTCGCCAACTTTCCTGACTTGGTGGATCCCAGATGTCACCCCTCCCTTGCGACCCCCTACATTATCCTTCAGGTCCGTTCTGGGCACTTAGCTTGGGGGTTGCTGGAGGCTTCCGCCCCCGACCTCCAGGTTGGGAGGCGGAGCCGCGTAAAGGGGGGTGGCAGATCAGGTTAGGACAAGGGGTCAGCTTGAAGAGGGTGCAGCTAAGTGGGAATGAGCAAGACAAACCTGGAGTGGAACCTAACTCCTTGGGGACCGGTTTGTCTGGGTGGGGTGTCTGTGCTGGGTGTTGTGGGGCGGGGGAACAGTGCTGCTAGAAATTCAAGGTCCATTTTATCCTTTTCCTCCTACCAGCCTCACTTAGAAGAGTTGTGGAATGTACAAACTCATTTGGGGATGGGGTGGTTAATGCCCAAGTGGGGGTCAGGGGTGCTAATCCCTGGGCCGGGGGAGAGATGCTAATCCTCCAGGCGGGTTCGGGCTGGTCCCGGGAATGTGCCCCCACCCCGGATTATCGGCACCGGCACCGATGCTCTGGACAGAAGCTGCTTTGTGTTCTCCAAAGGCGGGGGTGGGGTGGGGATAGGGGGAGTAGAAGGAGGAAGGGTTGGTGGAGGAGCACATTGAGGGCACAGCCTGTAGTGGGGGCGGGGCATCTGCAGGTGCTCTGGACAGACATTCTCCCCACACCCTTCCCAGGCTGGTGCCTGCCCCTTACCCCCAGGCCTGTGCACCTCTCCCCCATACTGGACAGACGTGCCCTGGCTGAAGGCCTGCTGAGAGGGAGGTGAGGAGAGTGGTCAGCTGAGTTACAGGCTTGCCAGGAATGTGTTGCCCCAGGCTCCCCACTCTGGACTGACCCCATCCCAGACCAATATTATTTGACCCTTCCAATGTATGTAGCCCTAAATAGGGCAACCGTCCTCCAACAAAATATACTGTATTTCTACCGTATGAGAGGCTTAGGATCAGGAGCCCCACCCCACCCCCCGAGTTTGCCCCACTCTGAATGAGTACTCTGATTTGCACTGATTGGGTTTTCAAACCTTAGCTGCCTTTCTGCCCTCCCCATTCTCCATACCCTTTCAACCCTACAGTCATGGTCAGGAGGGTGTCAGTCCAGCCACTCAGATTTTCCTTCCCCAGGCTAGGGGAGGGGAGGGATGGAGACCGGTCCTGCTCCCTCACACCTCTTTCCCCAGGGTTTCTGTGTCCACCCCTCCCAGCCCATCACGTGCCCCTCCCCCAGTATAAAACTGTCCAGCCTGTGGCCATGGGGGTGACCCTTTCTTCCTCCCACTGAGTGAGTTAAATTAGTCTCCTCCCCTCTCCCCCACAGACCCTACACAGAGCCCCAGGAGGGGGCCCTCCGCAGGGGTAGTTCTGCCATCTAAACCCAGTGTTCCTAGCAGCTCTCTAGTTCTTTTTTTTTGACTCTTGCCCTCTCCTTTCTGTCTGGGCAGCTGCCCTACCTTTACCTCCGTCACCATCTCTACTGCACTCAGTGTCTCACCCCCCACAACCTCCTGTCATCTCAGTCCCCTTTTCCAGTTTGCATCTTCAGAACCTCAACCAAATGTTCCTGTTCCTGGCCTGGCCTTTCCCTTGGGTTCTTAGTTTCTTTCCCTGCTCTTTATCTCTTCCTGCCTGGGCTCTGTTGCGCTTTCTCCAGTGCTGGGCCTAGTCTCCTTGCTGTCCTTTTTTTTGCACCCTTTTCCACCTCTGTCCTTCCTCCTCACTCTGCTTCATCTTGGCGCCTTTTGTGGGTCTCCTTGCCCTCAGTCCTCTCCACCTCTCTCTTTTTACTTCTCTTTGCTTCCTATAAGCAATTATCTTCTTTGCTCTTTCCACCTCTAAGGACCACTCCAAGGCCCTTCATAGTCCAGAAGGTCCGGACATAGCAATAAGACTCATGTGGTCATTGGCAAAGCCTCTCCACATAGCCCTCGCAGGACTGGGCACTTTCAAATCTGACGCCTCTCCTTGGTGACTGGTTCTCTTCCATACAGGTTATGCCGCCGCCCTATTGCCCTGAAAGCAGCAGCGACAGCGAAAAGGGCTAAGATTCCGCCATGAGCAGCGGCCCCCGGCGCCCCGCCTTGGGCGCAGACTCTTTCCGCATAGTGAGTATTACACAGTCGCCCTCCAGTGCCTGGCCAGACATTAGCCGCCCCACCTGTCCTCCTGACAGGGCTCAGACAAGGGCCAGAGTCGGATGTGGCCCGCAAGTATGTATGTGTGTGAATGAGGCGGTGGGAAAGGACGGGAGTGGGAGTGGGAGGGGGCAGCAGCATAAGTGGGAGGGAACACTGCAGTCAAGGACATGCTCTGCTCTAACTCTGTATGGATTGTGGTAGGGATAGGGATCGGGACTTCCAGCCTGGGGAAAGAAGTTGAGGCTCTTTTTACCTGAAGGTGTGTGTTTAGCCTCAGCAGGGGAGGAACTCTGGGAACCCTGGGACCCTAATCTGGCAACCCGTTGTTCTGTCTACCCTTAGAAACCGCTTTCTCTTGTTCTGGGTGTAGTGCTTTGAGCTGCTGGCCCCGCCCCTTCCACCCCACGTGCTACTTAGGCCCGTCCCTCCCAGCCCCCCA